TGCTTCTCAGTGTCTAGTTCATCATGGTTTGTTACTGTTGTGTTGAATGTTGAGTTTCAGTAAATAAATTTATGATTGAATTATTGTTGTCTGTTCATCCTGGTAAATTTTCTTTTCTCCAAAGTATTGGGAGTGACTCAGTAATGCAGTTTACTCTTTTATAAGGTTTGTGCATCTCCAAAAGGACAGTGATTTTTGCCAAGTGTTGCCACCTCCCTTCTCCTTCCCAAAATGCTCATTCACTTCTACCTTCCTCTTTCACTATCCTGCTGCTTTCATCCTCCTCTTGTGTCTCTGTGATATTTGAGAGCCTTTCCTGATCTTTCATGGTGACTGATCATTCCTCAGCTCCACAACTCTGCTGCTGGACTCTGCCCCATTTCACCTACCCTGCCTTTACCTCTGGCCACTTTTTCTCTGCAACTGTGTCTCCAGAGTGTCCACTTCCAGCTCACCAGAAGTCTACTACATTCCTTTTTTTCCCCACTTGTTATATCCTTGAGTTTTCCCTATGAAGGAGCTGGTACAAGGAGAGCCCCATGCTAGTGACCCCTCACTCCCTGCTCTCCAGCAGCCTATGCTCAGCAGTCCGGGTGGGAGGAGGTGGTGTGGCAGAGCCAACCCAAGTGCAAGAGGCCCCAAATTATCCTCTGTGCTCCCCCACCTCCCATCCCTTGGGAAGACAAGGGCTCTTGTTGCAGCTGTCGTCATCCAAGGAGGCTTGTCAAGAAGCTCATCCACAGGATGAGAGTGCCAAGCATCGTTGTGCTCTGCTGCTTTCTGTTCGTCCTCCTGCGCCGCCCGCCTGCAGCCTCTCCTTTCATTCCTCAGGAACAGAGTGGGAAGTTGTAGAGGAAAGAAATTCTTTGCCCAAGCTGAGCCTGGCAAATGATACCATGACTGAGGAAATTCTCAAACATTGAAGATTACGTGATGTTGGGTTGATACTTATTTTTCAAATCATTTACTAGATATATATAATAGATAAATCTGGCCAGAACTGGGATTTGGAAAGGAAACCCAAGTGCGCTATGGGACTAAGGTCTGCTTTTTTTCTCAAATGTAAATTTAATTAAAGGGAGAAAAATGGAGGGGAAGAAAAGAAAGTTTACCACAATCTTAATGAAATCCAGGAAACTTGAGCATTGCTTTCTGACAGAGACAAAATTGCAATTTTTTTTTTTTTCTTAGACATATAAGGAGTCTGCTGCCAACTTAAAGATTGATCCTCGCATCAGTGAGAACTTCCTTAAAAACTAGGAAGGATTCTTATTTCTTGGCATGAAAATAGGAGACAAATCTGAGAAACTTTTTTTACTGGATACTGTTTTTGAAGAAAGCTGTTACACAGAAAGAACTTTATGTAGGTGATTAAGCTGCTCTTTGAGTATGGTGGTGGAGTAGCAAGTACAACAGTAAATTTCAGTAATTCAATGTGACAGAAGTGGCTTATTAGGAAGCCAAAGTTACCTGACAGTCAATTTGAAAAATTAATAATGTAATTGCTTATCTGACTACTTCTACTGGGCTTTTCTGTTTGCTTGGTTTTGTTCTGGTTTTGTGTTTTGTGGTTTTTTTTTTTTTT